TCTCTTTGTTACTATATATATAACTAATTACATTGGATTGTTGAAATACAATGAAGATATTGAATTCGTGGACATTCAACTATAGGTATTTGATCGTCGTCAATATTTTAAAAAATGTTTATCATTAATTACTATTTTATATATATATATCCAAGTAGTCGACTATAGATTCTTTAAATGATAATTATTTTCGCTCACCGATTTGAATGAATTTTCTCTTATTAAAAAAAATGGGGCTTAAGATACGCACTTGAATTTGATTAACTTTTTTTCGTTTGATCGTGTTGGAAAAGAACAACACAAGTAATAATAGATTACGTTTATACACATGACGGAGTTATATTTTTATTATAATGTTAATAATATTTAATTATTTTGTGTACAACACAGAGTGGTCTCATCGTATTACGAGCTCGACGCCTCGTGATGTGATTTGCAAAATCTTAGTCTCATACCTAAATACTTTGACTTACGGTCCTATCCGATTTCCATGTCGGCTCGTGATGAGATTGACCATTTCAGCGGTAATTAATTAATTTTAAAATTCAAATCCACATTTATGTTTGGTACGTACGCGTTTATTAAAAGGTCGGAGATTTATGCGAGTTTAGATTTGTAGGGCTAATTAATATTTTCTCCAATTTTCCGAAAATATTCAGTTGATAAATATAGGACAAAATATTAAATTTTAATATTGATTATTACGTTTCACTAGCTCAAGGTCAAGATTTACGTGTTATCATATTCCGAGGTTTGTAAATCAATGACGACTAAAATATTACTAGCAGTAGTACTTAATAGATGTATTAGATTATAAATTCTGCTAAACACAATTGTAATTTTTAGATGATCTCTAGAATCTACTTTAGAAATTAAACTTCCGAGATTTTTAATCTTTTATCTAAATCCTCTTGTGTGTTACAGAAAATAAAATGTAATTTACCATATGTGAAAAAGATTTAGGCCTTGAAGGAGTTTTCTCAACTTTTGGTATTTGATAACCCAAAAAATGTTAGCAGCTAAAACCAAAAACTAATACCATTTTGTTTAGATTTTAGTTTAAAAATCTGATTTTTTAAGACTTTTTCATTTTTTATTAAATATTAACTATATAAAATATTCAGAAGGTAAAAATATCCATAATTTTAAAGAAACTTTCACTTTATACATAGGTATAAAATCCCTTTTTGCTAATTTTATATTTAAAATCTAAAATCTAGGATTTAAAATAGTACTATTCCAATCAAGTTTTATAAAAACTATAAAATCTACACGACAGAATAATTTATAGTCTATGTACACTAATGACTATTTTTTTAATTTCATCAAAGTAAGAGATTAGGGTTTTCTATTAACATCATTATTTGGTTTAAAAAGATCGGGTGACTTGTTACGCCCTCCTACTCCTAGGTTGAAAAAGTAAATAAAATTATTTACCCTTTTTGCATAAACTTTCTAATGTTGATTCGATTTTTAAAACTTTTAGCCGAGCGAAATCATAATAAATTAAACTATTAGAAACGTAGGATATATCTGTCATGTATATGTGCTTATTAGATTAATAAGTTGTTGTTTTTTATGTAATGCTTAGAATTTGATTTTATGTTTAATTCCATTATCGAAGAAATTGATTACATCGTGGCTTTACTATAGTACAAAACAACATTCGGTGAGTCCATTGATCTAATGGAATTTTCTCTCAATAAATTCTCAGTTCAATGTTGTTTGTAATTTGATCAAACCTAAAAATACATTTTTTTTAATAGAATAAACATGTTCCACAAAATCCAAACTTTGTTAGTTCAAAACGGACGCAAAGCGTATGTTTTTTTTGGTAAAACAAAGCGTATATTTCATCTTGAATTCGAATTTTAAATTTAGAAAAAAGAATATATAATCAAAATCATATGGTTGATTTTCGACTTCGAAATTAGTTGGACCTAGATTGAGAGTACTCAATTACAAAGAATATATATGTATATATATATGGAAATTATCAAATTGGAGTGTACTAACCAAACATAAGTCATTCTCATGTCTTATTTTCTTCATCAAGAAAAGGACAAGGAGAAGTAATTGTGGCGGCAAAAATATTCCATTTTTATATTTTCTTTGGAAAACTAAATTTTCGTTTATCAATTTAATATTTGATATCGTTTTTAATTATTTGTCATTTTCTATAATAATGCAAGACGTTGAAGAATTTATACTTGAATAAAAACAAAAACAATTCAAGGTTCACGATTGTGTTCATATTATTATTATTATTATTATTAGATTCCATATCGTATGATTTCACTTTAGGAATACAATTCAGCTTAGTTTTAATGACTTGTGATAAATTTAAGTGGTTTACTGTGATATAGTATATAATTAATGCAAATTACTTTTAACTTTATCCTTAATTAGGGTTAGGGTTTGTTTTGACGGATTTTTTTTAATCTCTAAGGATATATATATATATATATATATATATTAACAGAGTGTCAGTGTTACAATTTATATTTTATTTGGTTTTGGACTTGTTTTTATTATAACAAAAAAAATATGTATTGCAGTTTAATATATTTTTTATTTTGTATGAAAAGTATATTATAAACCAATTTTCGCGATTTTCGAATCCGGTATTGATATTTGGTTTACTCACCAATAAAATCAATTTTATCGGATTGGAATAAATTGCATATAAATTTATAATATACTTTTTTTTTATCTCATAGCTTTATTTGAAACGATTATAATTCTGATTTGAACATTTATCACACACACTGACACACATATATATATATATATATATGTATGATTTGGTCGACGAGCTAGATTCAATGCATGTGCTTTTGACATTGGCTAAATACAATCCTCGGTCTTTATATGTCAAAGTATGGCTAGGTTTCTACTCCCGTTTTGTATTCTCACACACCATCGTATATCTGATTGAAGCAGTTCTCCAATAATTATAATTTCGTGAAATTAAATACTGATTCTTCAGGGGACACGTGTACGGATAGGATCGAACCAGCTGTCCCTCACTAAGAGACGAATCGAGGGAGGCTGTGGACAACAAAGAAGCGGTTAGACGAAAAATCCCGAATAAGGAGAGGACACCTGCTTTTTGTGGGTTTGGTGGGACCCACCTAAAAGTAATATTTTATCGTCTAGCTTATCCGTGGTCCCCATGGCTTCTCGATCTTCTGTGCCACGTGTCGTAATCTTGTCGCTTGGACCATCTTATCTTAGGAACACCTTTCCGTTACGCGTACGAGATCGTCGCCGTCGAAAAACGTGTCACGAGAAGTTCAAGTGTTTTTGTCTTGAAGAAAGAAAATAATAGAATGGTATATTTTAAATCTTTTTTGTTTTGGTAATGAACCTGTATCTGCAACCTTTAATTGAATGCAACAATTTACAGATATCTTTTCTTTATCAATGTTATATTTCTGTTTATATTTTTTTTGGATTTTTTTTCTATAATTTTTGTTAATGAGATTGCAACTATTATATATGTAATTTACCCAAAAAATTACTATATATGTATATCGTGCTCAAGTTGTTATTCCAAATGATAAAATGATTTGAAAAACGAGGTATAATTTGCTCAACCAAATCTTTTTTTCTGAATAATTTTTTAATTTATATTTGGATATGTATACTTAAAATTGGTGGATTACACCGATTTGAAAATTTTGGATTATTGAAAAGAGAACAGATATTTATTACATAATATATTGTACATTACTTACAACAATTTACCATATAATATAATACGTACCTAAATCTTTTTTATATAATTTTTTTTGTTGAATTTATACATTTTAGTTGTTTGTATTATGTTGTATTTGATTTGAAATAAAACCTTTTATCGAAAGCGAAAATATTTTTATGTGTATTTATTTTTTTATCGCTAACCGGTTTATTTAACTCTTAAATTTGATGGGATACAATATAAATATCATCATTTTAGGAAAATCCCAAATGAGATGATAAGAAATATGATTAACATATCGAGAGGTTGGATGTTCGACTCCTTATCCATTCTTCTGTCGTCCGTCAGTTACGGCTAATTCATATCCCACATGTGTGTCGTGGGCTTGTATACATAGGTGTGGAGTTTATCCATCCAATACATCCGAAGGGTAACAGCCGAGGTATCCACCGTACCGTTAAAAAAATTCATCGTTTTTAACTTATTAATCCAAATTCAAAATCAACGAGTTTGTAGATTTTATCCGGTCTTATGCAATCGTATTTCAAAATGTTTTTCATTCAATACATAAGAATCTGAATAATTATTAGGAATATATATTCCAAACTTCAATTTGATTATGTTTATGTTAAATTAATTTATTTTGGAAAAATCTGAATGATTCGATTTATATTGGATTATTTTTACATTGGATTTTAATTGAATTCAGTTTTTTTTATTGTTATTTTTTCTATTTTAGTTTTAAAATATTTTATTTTCAAATGTTTTAATATTGGATCCATTATATCCGTATTTTATTGTTATTTGTAGTTATAGACTTATACTCGTATTATATTCGTTTTTATTATAAGTAAATTTAACTTTTTTATTTAACAATGATCTTTTTTTTTCTAACAATGAAATTAGGACTATTTCTTGTAGATTATCAATGCAAATCATCCTTGAAAAATGGTTTATATATGGCTAATCTATTTGATTCTGAGATTAGGGGTTGAACTATAAAACAATTAAAGTTTATTTCGTACTGCAAGAGGCATTTACAATATTGAAATTAATAAAATATAAAAGAATACTTAGCTAATATAATGTTTGTTTAAATCAATTTTGAGACATTATCTACTGAAAGTGAAAACTTAAGAAGTTTGGTGTTTTTAAAATTTAAACTTTGAAAGTAGAAGGTCAACGAAATTACATTAAGGTCTTTTCTGAAAAAATAAAAGTTTTGAGGCGAAATTGTAAATATAAGTTTCTAAGCCCTGTTCTGGGACTATAGGGTTTTTTGGGATAACACCTTTTTTCTTCTTTTTTCCCGTCATCGTTTTCCTTCGGCCGTCTCACCTCTCAGTCTCTCTCTCTCCGGCCCCGCCGCCGTGACTGTCGGAGCCCACCGCCGCCGTTCCGTATTTCCGGTGATTCCCTTCCCATCATTTGTGCTATCTTTCCTTTTATTTATTTTTCCTTGGCCATCGTTTTCCTTAGGAAATGTGAAATCCCAGATCGAGCAGATTTAGGGCTCTCAGGTTTCATTTCCTTCACCTGATTCATATGCTTTGATTTCGCAGTTAAATAAGATAAATTTGTGGCCTTAGACCCAATTTCTCGATCAAGCATCACTCGTAGCCATGGCGGGTTGGCAGAGGAATTTGCAGTTGGTTCTTCGTCAAGTTGGGAAAAGAGTGGAGAACAGTTACATTTCAACAGCGCATTACTCGTCGTCTCGGCATCTGGGATCCTCTGTCTCGCATGGTCAGTTTCAGATTTAGTGTTTGAATTCAGTCGTGATGATGATTCAGTTTTTCATTTTCTTTTTGCTGGTTTGGTAGGTTACTTGCAGGGTCTTTCGAAATCACATTACACCTCCTCAAGGCCACTGTACCAGTATCTACAGAACTTGGTAATACTTTGTCCCTTTAATTCTTTTCTTCATTGTTATGATGCTTTGCTGAATTGAAAAGTTTAGCCCTTTTTCCTGCCCTCTTTGTTTCCTGTTCGGCATTTTGCATGATAGCGAGTGGGTCATAGCGTCTTTGTAGCATCACTTGTACCTCAAGCTCCAGAATCCGAAATGGGTAAGGTGGATTTGGATAGGGGAGATATAATGTAGCAGGTTCAGTCATGTCTTTGTAGCTTGTGTTTGCTGCAACGCTCTTGCGACTGTGAAGTAAAGAGATAACACTCATCTTTGAAGCTATGCACTAACGCAAAATCTTAAGAATACTTAGTTTTCGGTATGCCCGTTTGGGGAGTGTCGTGATTGTCTGGGCTGCTCTAAAGTATATACTGTACAGGGAATTTCTAGTTCAAGGAAATTACTGGCCGATGAAGCAGCTGTATCATCGCCTCTATCTTCACCAGCTTTGTTGGGCAGTGGAAAATCGGAGGAGCAGAAGGTTATCGCTAAGCGTTCAAAAGTTCAGGCTGTCTTGATGGGCATAAAACAGGTGGGAGTTCAAAGTATTTTGAGGATTAGCATATCGGATTGTTTATTGGTTTGCCTAGACTAGGTGCTGAATTGGGTAATTTTCCAACATGTTTATGGACCTGAGTTTGCTAAGGAACAGGTTTTTCCTTTGTTATTTGGGGAAACTCCTTACACTTAGATGGAAGCATATACGTAATTATATAACCAATTATTCTTCAACAGAAACATGATCATATGGCCTTGATAAGATGCACATAAACAGTTGCTGAAGGGTATTGCAATTTTTGGCATACATGATTTCTGAGATGGCAAAGAGGGGGACACTTAAGCTGTGTCACAGTAAACTCTATATCTACTCGAATGACAATGTATTACTGGATTTTTTCATACGATTAATGTAGTGTGAAATAAGCTTATAATCCATTGGTTTCTTTTCTACTCTGGAGTGTCTTCTTGAATTCCTTACAACTATCATATATAATCTTAGATAGCAACAGGCTCCGAAGGTCTAGTTTTTATCATTCCTTTTGTTAAACAAAATTAAGGAATTTGTGAGCCAAATTTGGAATGGAGGCTCCCAGGGTAGAGCACAAATTTCGCTTTCTATAACAAAGTATTGATATACATTTCATGGTGTTTGCTTGTTTTCAGAGTCCTAAGAAGGTCAACTTGGTTGCAGCATTAGTTCGTGGCATGCGTGTTGAAGATGCTCTAATGCAATTAGAGGTCACAGTCAAACGGGCTGCCAAAACCGTGTATCGGGTAACCTCTCAGCTCTCTAAGACATGTGATGTATACCGAATACCTACATCTGAGTAATCTAAAACCATAAATGTGGTGGAGTTTTTGGTTTTGTTTTGTTTTATTTTTTTAAATCTCTTGTCTTCTGCTTGCATGCTGGCCTTTGGCATCTTATTTTGGCTCATTCTGATTATATCTGACAGAACTCTTCTTTTGCCGAGACTTACACTACTTGTTATCTTTTCTAATGCAGGTTATTCACTCGGCCCGAGCAAATGCCACTCATAACCATGGGCTAGATCCTGACCGTCTTCTGGTTGGTATGTAATGAAATCTCACTTTGAATTTACTTGTTTTGCTTAAACGAAGGAAAATGAGATGTGAGAGAATATACTTTGAAATTTCATGTAAATCCCTTTGTTGTGTGGATATATCATGTACCTTTTTGAGAAAATTAAGTCACTTAGGGTTTAAGCATAATGGTGATGGATGCAGCGGAAGCATTTGTCGGGAAAGGATTATTCAAGAAGAGGATATCGTATCACGGGAAGGGTAAATGCGGGTTGAAAATAAGACCCGAGTGTCGTCTAACGGTTATAGTGAGGGAGACAACTCCAGAGGAAGAAGCCGAGATAGCGAGGCTCAGAGTTCATAACTTCAAGAAGCTGAGCAAACGAGAGAAACGGCTTGTGCCTCATAAACTCATTGAGACCACTCCCATCTGGAACCGAAAAGCCAGCAAATCTCATCGGACGACAACGTCTGTGCCTTCATGAAACATTAAGTGAGATTCATTTTGTCTTCTGTTCCTCCCTTCCAATGTGTTGCCACAGTAGAAACTAAGACCTACCTCTTTTCTGCACTTGAAAGAACATAGCTAAAGCTCATGTTTGTTATGGTCGAATACCCAAAGTTTGGTTGGTTTTATTCGGTTTAGTGTTAACCAGAGCTCCTTTTAAGATCCAGAATGATCAAAACTCAACCGGTGTAACCGAGCTTTTCCGGTAAACGAGTGGTAATTAATAAAAATAGCTCACCACCATCTTTGTTTTTGCTTGAATATCCAACGTTGGTTTAGTTTGGTTTAGCTATAACCACAGGTACTTTAAGATTCGGAAAGATCAAACTCAACCGGTTTAACCGAAATTTTCAGTTAAAGGGTTGTTATTAATAAACATAGCTCACCGAGGGGTTTTTTTTCTCGAATATCCTAAGTTTGGCTGGTTTTGTTCGGTTTAGTTTTAAGTTTTAACCAGTGCTACTTTAAAATCCTGTAGGAGTAAACACAACCGGTTTAACCAAACTTTTTTCCGGTTTAAGGGTGGTAGTTAATAAACATAGTCCTCTCTCCTTGTTTGTTTTGGCTCGACTATTCTGAGCTGGTTGGTTTTGTTTCGGTTTAGATTTAACCACAGCTACTTTTAAGATCTAGAATGATCAAACTCAACTGGCTTAACCGAACTTCTCGGTTAAAGGATGGTGATTAATAAACACAATGTCTTATGATTTAATTCATAATCCTCAAAACATATCTGGAACGCTGTTACATATTCTTGTGATACAACGGTCGATGTTCATGTAATAAATCAGGACCAACTAAAAGCATTCATAACGTTCAGAAATTAACTACCACTACCCCCACCACTATTACACATACTTTCCTCTGTATTTGAGTTTTGGGTCTTTGGAAAGTGCCTGAGGAGATGGAGGAATTGAATCGGAGGGGCTGAAAACGGATGAATGAATGTTACCATCCTCCAACCACTTAACGTGATTCTCTCTAAACTCCTTATGTCTTAACCGAGCTTCTTCTTCGATTTCCGGTGTGTAAGGGCTGATTTTCACCATTGTTAGCAGAACCCGACTGTATCGGGAGCTTAAGATCTGTTGAGAGACGGCGACTAACTTGAAACACGTGTGCTCGGGATATTTGTTCTCGGGATTATTGTCTTCTCTCAAGACGGGGAAGAAGAAGACTAGTCTCCCTCTCATCACGAGCATTCTAGCAGCGAGGTCGAGCAGATCGTGAACACACTCTACCAAGCTGTAAGGAGCTGTTGATGGAATGTGGCCTGTCCTTTTGTCGTCCGGGACGGTGTACGGATCCACTGCCCCTTTCAGCAATTTCCTCCCACCCGATTTCCGTCCTCCAGCTCGAACCCCGTAAGGGGGGTCGCAAATGATGGCATCAAAGATCTGGGTGCAAAGTTAAAAGAGAAGAAATGACAAGAACCATAAGAAATAAACAGAAGCAGATCGGTATAGTTTAGGAACGACTCTTATGAGTGCATTTGTAAGGTAAATATAACTGGAAACGATATTCTTCTATAGAGTCCAATACTGATAATCTCAATTTACTAATGACGCAACCGTGAACCACTGCAAAGGAGAAAATAGAAAACAGAAAAAAATTAGTTACCTCCTTCAACCCAGGGCGCCAAGGAGGAAGGTTATTATCCATCCGTAAAAGTGCAACTGGCATAGGCAGCCCATACTGCAGAAACCACTTACATGTAAAAAAACACAGAGATATAAATGTAGAATCTAAAACCTAACCAAGATACATTAAGTGCATTGACCTGCTTGAAATTGCTCCAGACGTTACAGTCCGGACCACGCCCATCACGCACTACTCTGATGTCAATGTCTGCACCCTAATCCAATAACCAGTGTCAGTTAAAACTCAGAAAAATGGAATGGAAAAGGAAAACTACTGAGCAAGTTAAACACGAACCATAGTTGTCGCACCAAAGTGTGCAGCCGAAACAAGAATGCTTCCAGTCCCAACAAAAGGGTCATAGACAAGTTTGCCAGGGGCTGCCTTTGCTTGATTGGACATCAAGAAAGCCACTTCGGCATCCATAGCTGTTGGGCCAAGGTAATTGCGGGATTTTAACTGATAGGTGGGTACAAGTTTTCTGTCCGCACAACCAACCTCACGGCCAAAAAAGATTCTTCTCTGAACAATTGGCGGAAGGCCATTGTTATCTCCAGATTCATCGGTTTCCAAGAGAAAGAACTTGTGTTCCGGGTTCTTCAAGTTAACCCGACCCTGCAAAAAATGAATACGCATCAAGCTACCAACAGAATACAACAAGCAATAGGCGGGGATCCAAGAAAGTGAGAACAGACCTTAAAAGGGATATAAGAGAGGGAATGAATGCGATCCTTCTGCTCATCGAAAGTGATGGTCTTTCCGAAAGTTTCGACAGAGATCCTAAAGGTGGAATCAGAAGTCAGAAATGGAAGCTTGCAAGAATCAGGGTAGCTTTCAATGGAGTCTCTCAGCTCATCGTAGCTACTTCCTTCACCCCAAAGCTCATACATTCCTTTGACCAGTATGCCTACAAATTAAAGCATTTTTTAGATGGGGAAACACAATTAAAAGAGGAGAAATCACAGGGAAGGAAGAACGTACTGCGGTTGGCGATACTGCAGGCGATGTCATCAGAAGGAAGATGAACAAAATGAAAAGGAGAATCCGGGTGGTGGTGTTGAGGAAGTCGCCACTGAAGAGACTCACTCTCTTCTCCTAAAGCTCCAAAGAGATCGGCCAATGCCTCCACCTCTGGTTTCCTGAAGTCTAGTAATCTGTGATAGAAGACGCAGAGGTACCACATCTCCACATTCAAACCCCTATTCGATGCAGAAAAAGCACTCCACAGTTACACCTTTAGGAATGAATAAAAATAGCAGAATCATCAAGAATGGTTCCAGGTCCTAATGGATGTAACACGAGAAGACTATAAGAGATGAATCCATGACTTATGTCGAATCTGTCCATCCAAAACCTGCAGAATATATCATCCATATCCGAAATTGCTTAAAATCTGACTAACAAACAGACAAAACGCGAATCGACCATTTCCAAGTGTGGACAGTAAGAAGAAAATGAACCAGATTGCTTCGAAACCGACCAAACGACAAACAAAGGCGACCACTGTCGAGCCACTCCGATAAAAACTCGGAACTTCTACTCCAAATCTCAATGCAACATTCAACCAATAAAACACATACAAAGCGCCGAACTAACAATATTTGCTTCAGCTAAGCTATAATCCATATCGGAATCGTTCATTTCACGATAAAGATTCAAGGAAACTTGAAGACGCGCATCCGGATTAATCATCAGACATTCGAGAGAAAGAAAATGAACAGGAAATTAGAGCTCCGCGGGCTTGAATCCTAGGATCTTACCCCAAAATCTCACCGGACAAAAGTTGAAACAAACAAACTCCACAGAGAGAGAGAGAGAGAGAGAGAGAGGGAGAGAGAGAGAGAGAGAGAGAGAGAGAGGGGCTTGCCTTATTCTTTCCCTGGAAATTCCGCGGGCGAGGAAATGCGATGACCGAGAAAGACGTCAGGAGAGACGACGGCGACGACGACAAAAACCCATTCTAAACCCTCGCGCTCTGTATTCGATCATATGAGCCTATTTTCCGAGGCCCAATCAAGGCCCATTTACAATGTTTTTAAATCATAATATTTTTTTATAAATATATGAATTATTTCAATGTAAAAAAAAATGTAGTGATAAAGTAATTCTGTTTTTTTTATATTTGTCTTTTTTTATTTAATTTATATAATTTTATATTTTTATATGGTATTAAAGCGGTCTGATCTATTCTATATCCTTTTTATTTATCAATATCTTCTTTTTTGAATTTTAGATGTTTATATATCTAAATCGTTTAAAAGAGAATAAAAATCTAAAATCAAACGAGGTGATATGATAAAAAAAAAAGAACAAACCTAAAAATTCTAAAATTAATTGATGTGATATGACAAAAAGAGTTAAAGGTATAATTTCAAAATCAAAATAAGTGATTTGAAAATGAATAATACTCTTTAAAACAACTAAATTTGGTGTTTATGTATTTTTCTAAAGACAATGAAAATATCTATTGATTTTTATCGCATTATTTTTTTAAGATTGATTTTTGCATTCTTTCAAAGGTAATCTTGAAGAAAATATTGAAATAGAAAATTGAATATGTGATTAGAGAAAAATATAGATTTAGAGATATTATTTTCAATAATAATGAACACAATACTTAAATATTGTGTATCATCAGTAAATAAAATAATTTCGTTCCTTTTCATATTTGTCTTTTTTTCTTATTTAATTTTTACAATTTTATATTTGTACAATATATACCTCATATTAATTAAATTGTAGATCTTTGTGAAAACAAAAATAAATAAATTTTATCTATAGATCTAGGGAAGAAAATCTTAACAAACAATTTTTAGATGTCAGATTATATAGAAAGAGAAATCAATTTAAAAAAAAAATCAAATTAAAAAGATTGTGATAGAATTTTTAAATTTTACTTTTAAATTATAAAAAAATAAACTATTAAAATGGTAATACTGTTAACCAATATTACTATTCTCTAATTATATTTTGAATTTTTTAATAATAAATAAATTCTATAAAAAATAAAATTGTCAAACATACAATTTAAAAAAATATGGAAACTTTTTAAGGTGGGCCATGTACAATCTCTCCAATAGCTCTTGAGAGATGATATGTTACGTATCATTTGTTTTATTTTTTCTTATAATTCATCAACTCATTAAAATTTTGACCCAATTATATATCTCCCAAAAAAGTTCATATGAATATTCTTTTCTAAATAGAGATTTCAAACTGTATTGAAAAGAAGTTCATTAAAACTGTATTGAAAGTATATTAAAAAGGTAAAAAAGGCGTGTATTAGTTTTTTTAAATAAAATTGTAACCACTAATCGATCAAAATTACTTATAAATACGTCGAAATTAATAAATGCATGAGCCAAAATCCAAAGCAACACTCAATTTTCCTGTTCTTTTCATTTATTAATTGAATTCACATAAACAATAAAAAAAATATATAAAAAACGTGGATGGGTGCAACACGCTTCCTCATTTCTGATTTTTTCTATTTTTTTTTTCCCATTCGAATGATTCTTGTTATTTCAAATGAAATATAATATTTCTGATCATATATATATATATATGAATTTATTTATAAAAAACAATTTCATTCTACTCCATAATCACTGGTGACGTGTCAATAGTCCACAAGCCGAGCAAAGTGGCACGCGACGTAAGTGGAAACGACAAAACACGAAAAGCGAAAGACACGTGTCGTCCTTACGGGTCCCAATCCCAACGCACCACAGCTCACGTGTTCTCCACGCGCCTCCTTCCCTTCTCTTTCCTCTCCCACCACCGCACGGCACACGCCTCTCCGTTTCTTTTTCTCCATGCTCGCTTCTCTTCCTCGTCAAAATCTCGATCCCTTTGAAACTCTTCATCGTTTTACCGTCTTAGACATTCCTTTTTTGCCGGAAATCTCACCGGAGAGGTAGATCTCTTTAATCTGCTGTTCTTGTTCTCCGGAGTCGCTTTCGGTGTTTTCTGGTGTTTTTTTTGTTTGTGTGTGTAGAATTTAAGTGAATTTTGCCGAGAAAATGGTGGAAACTGCAATAGAGAAAAGTGTATCTATTGAATCTATTTATACGAGGAATTACTTTTTTAGAGTCTGAACCATAATAGGTTTTGGAACAGATTTATGGTGGCTTTGTATTTGTTTTCATCGATCATCCATTTGGAGGATTGGAATTTGTGGGTGATATCGCTATTAGGGATGGAACAGTTTATATGGTTCATTCGGATCCGGAAAAGGGCTCTGGAAAGAGGTTTGAATCTTTTTCCATTTCCGTTTATGTGGTTGGGTTCTTGAAATTCCAGGTGATTCTGGTGGAGAATCTCGGTCTTACCGGGTGAAAATGGGATCGAAAACCGCTTCTGTCTTGGCTGATCAAGTGAATTCCAGCGTGGGCTCCCCTAACAACAGGTTAGCTTGAATCTCATTGATTTTCAGCGAGGCATTTCGGTGGATTTGATTGTTAGTGATCCAACACTGAGCTCCTCGGGGTGCTTTCTCGTGTTTGTTTTGGGACATGATCACCTGTTCCGTAAGAACGGTATGCGACTGTACTGTTCATTGTCTTGATGCAGGTCTACAAAAGGTAAAGCTCCCAGAAGCACAAACAAGGCCGCCCGGGAGAAGCTTAAACGCGAGCATCTGAATGAGCTCTTTCTCGAACTAGCCAACGCCCTCGGTAGATTTATGATCTCTCAATCTCTTGTTCCTATTTCTCTAAGGCTCTTCCCACATACTTTATATCAAAGCATAAGCAAATGTGTGAATCATTATAGATAATTGATGGTCACCTTGGTTGTCAGCCTGGAAAATGGTGGATAATGGAATTCGTCATAGCATCTATCCTGTTTGGTTTCCACGGAATAGCCGTTTGTGGGTCATTAACAATGCTTAATGTTGTAGAGAGGCGTACATTGGTGACATAGTAAATTGGAATTAATGTTTCTTTCATGTTAAGGTTGATGCTGTAGCAATGCCTCAAACTAGAGTGGATTTGCCACGAGTCAGGTTGTTTCGGATATGGTGTTTTACTTATTTGAACTCACCTTATAGCATTTCTTCCTTCAGAACTCGATCAGCCGAACAGTGGGAAAGCCTCTGTTCTGTCTGAGGCGACACGGTTCTTGAAGGATCTGTTTGGTCAGATCGAGTGCCTCAGGAAGGAGAACGCTTGTCTTTTGTCTGAATCTCACTATGTAAGCCTCTCTTTCTTGAAACATCGTGCTCCTACATGTCCACCTCCAACACAAATTCTACTAGTTTAACTGCCATCAGTTGCTTGTAAAGGTTCAGACTATTTTTATCAGAAACTGAGGTTCTTTTTTTTATAAAAAAAGCTCACTTTTACTTTTTCCCATTTCTTTGCAAAAAAAATATGAATGTGTGTGATTGTGTTGTAGGTAACTGCGGAGAAGAATGAGCTAAAGGAAGAAACTTCGGCACTCGAGACCCAAATCTCGGAACTGCAAACCGGGATAGAAGCGAGGGCAAACCAATCGAAACCGGACATAAACGCTTCTTCACCGCCCGAGAACCAACACCGGCATACTGAACTTGCATCCCGTTTTCCAGGACTACCCGCTTTCCGAGGCGGCTACTTAGTAGAGCAACAGCCTTCTGCTCCCACCACCACCGTTCTTGTCCTCCCCGTCCAACCCGATCTCCAAACATATAACATTGCAGATACAACACAAACGGTCGTGAAACAGAGTTCGAACGTGAGGAAGCCGCACCCGAGGTATCCAAGTGTGGCCGACTCGTGGCAGTCTCGGTTGCTAGCAGACAGATCAGATGAGGGCGAGTGAAGAAGCTCTGGTCGGTGGTAACAGCAGCAACGGGAAGTGAACTTGTGAAAATGTGGTCGGGAGAAAGGTGTCGTAGCTGTCTGTCTTTTGTCATTACTGTTGCGTGCGTGTCGATGAAGAGAAAGAGTGAACTCAAATTTGGAGTGTTATTCTCCGTTATCCATGAAATGAAGAATCGACTTCTTTATTATATTCTCTAATAATCGTGTTGTATACGAAAATTTTAGGTCATCCGAATTTTTGTATTGGAGTATCTGGTGTTTTTTTTTTTTGGGCATTATAAAAAATAACTTTACTTTGCTATTTTTAATTCAAGATTACCTTTATGATCAATGTGGTCGAAATATAGTGTGGTCACATATTGATCTCATTGTTCATAACGTTAAATTTATGTTGTTTTAATCAAATGATTAGTAAGATATATAAGGTATGAACATAATGAATTAGTGTGATCACCATAAATTTAACATTATAATAGATAAAATCAAAATGTGACCATACTATATTTCGTTCACATTGGTCATATGGTTATAAGGGTAGGTCTTGAAGTAAACATAGTAAAGTAAAGTTATTTTTGATATAATGCCATTATTTTGTGTGTATATATACATTTCAGATATCTGAATTTTTGGATATACCAAAAAGTATTCAGATATATTAATATTCGAATTAGAGCCAGTGAAAAACTTCTTTGTCAAGTAGAAGTAGAATGAAAGAAAATGCTGAAAGAGAGAGTTTTAAATTTTTTTTGGTAATGGCAAAATTGTAATTTTAAGAGATTTTTATGGAACTTTGTCGAACACTACTCTTGAATAATGGAGAAACATGATCTCGATCTTGCTTATATTGGGGGTAAAGCTATGATGTTCTTGATTCTGGTTTATGGTATATGATGATGATGATGATGATGATGATGATGATAGAGGGTTTATATGTTACAATATTCTGTAATAATTACATTTAGTTCCATTTGTTTTCATATGTTTTTAGTTTTACCGCTTTAGTTCTGATTGGTTCAACGACCACCCCGAGATGTAAAGTACTTTTCATGCCTTTTTTATTTATTTATTATATATGCTCTTTGTTTTGTCCGAAATGAAAACCCTTTTATACAAAATTCTCTAATCTGATTCTTGTCCTATTTTATACGAAATTCTTATAATCCGATCATTATAAGATGTTTTTTAAAAAATTATTTATGTAATATGACACGAATAATCACATTAATGATTTGTTTAAGTCGATCCAAAAAATTATGAAATGTGACCTAATTTCTTTGTGATAAGAAGAAGAACAATTTGGCATTACCCATTTTGGGTTTTTGTCGTTACGCGTTATGTGATTTACACAACATTATCACAAAAATAAAAATCACATCTTTTCCTATTTTTATTGTTTCCTAATTTTCTCTTTATTCCTCCTTTGCTTCTTGTTCATCATACATCTGCAGATTCTCTTTCCTTGCCTCTCTCCTTTTGGTCTTCTCCACTCGTAGTCTCGTCTCTTTATCTAACGCAGATATACCAAGTGTTGTCATCGATTCTCGTCTTGATTGCATCCTTTACGACCTCTGGTCAGTCAAGTTTCGATTTTGATCGCTGCCTTTTTCCTTTCTCCATGTTGGAATTCGGTCCAGATTCGGATCGATCTCGTTTATGTATATGCATCTCGTTATCGGATTGTATCTTCTACTTCTCGTATATGATCTTTTGAGTTTGATCTTATTGCCCATTGTTTGAATCCAGATTGATAGTGGTGTTTATATCCTCGTTTTTCTGATCCTGAATAAAGATTTGAACGAACTCGTACAACGTTTATTGTCCGAATCATGGAGACTGATCCCACTTTTTCCCTGACCGGACATGAACAACTTTGATTTGATCTAATCTCTTTAGTTCTGTTTTCTTGTTTCCCAACTGTATTTTGATTCATGCTTCTTGTTAAATATGAATTTGGTAGATGTAGAAATATGAATTTTGATTCCTGCTTCTTGTGGTTTGGGGGGCTTGAAGAAAGTCGAAATGTTTATGGAAAATATTGAAGACAAAGATATCAGATGTGTATGTCTGTCTCATCATGTGTTGAAATAAGTCATCCAGATTTGTGGGTGATGATTCTTTGTGAATTTTGTGAGATTGTTATACAAAGAAAGAGTTATTTTTTTTGGAGCTTTTGATTGATTCATCAAAGATATGAAAATGGTTGGCTAAAGTTCTTGTATTACTTAATTTATTTAGGTCCTAGCAATGTCAACTCCTGCAAGAAAGAGACTGATGAGGGATTTCAAGAGGTTACAGCAAGACCCACCTGCCGGAATAAGTGGAGCTCCTCAAGATAACAATATAATGCTTTGGAATGCTGTGATATTTGGGTGAGTTCTTGCAACCAAATCTGGACATTATATGTTGTCCGAACTTTTTTATGTTTCTTTTTTTCAAAGTATGGTAGCATAAGCAACTTCTGGTGTCTTTTGTCTGATTTCTTTTGCAGTCCTGATGATACTCCATGGGATGGAGGTGAGCTATCTTTTTACCTATTGCTTTTCTTCTTCATATTCTCATTCTCATCTCATCACATTCCATGTAATATGATGCCGTCTTCTTTTCAACACCGAGCTTAATCAAGTGCACAAAATTTGCTTCCCATCGATCTATAGAGCGTATGGTTCTGATGAATTGGCTGTAGTAGTTGATTGTCATATGAAGAGAGGTTTTTGAGTGATAATGTGTGTTAGTGGTTTCCATGTTTGTAATAACTGATAACTAATGAGAGTTTGGATCCACTTTCAACTTTGGTTTGGTGTTTACCTCTAATCATTTGGCCGACGATCTCTGATTTAGAGCCCTTTTCCGTCTCGTGCTTCCTCAGGGTGGATTAACAGAAATAAAGAGATTTGGATTTTTTCATTTGTTTCCTTGTAAAGCTTTGGTGTAAGACCCTGTAGGTTTAAACTTTAAACTACCTGATGGTTTTCTTGTTCCTAAAAATTATCCATCCAAAAAAAAAGTTTCGATTTCTACTTTGTTTAACCGAGTTTAGTTTATCTGTTGGGTTCTTCAGGTACTTTCAAGTTGACTCTTCAGTTCAGTGAGGACTATCCAAATAAACCTCCAACAGTTCGGTTTGTTTCTCGGATGTTTCACCCAAACAGTAAGTTGGATTACCCGATATGGACTAAGAAGTGTTTAGACATCATATCTGTTTTTTCTTCTTCTCTCTCTCTCTCAACTCAAAGTTTTGAACTTTGATCAGTTTATGCTGATGGAAGCATTTGCCTTGATATTCTTCAAAACCAATGGAGCCCCATATACGACGTGGCTGCGATACTCACATCCATCCAGGTTTGGATTCTGAATTCACAGATGCATATTCCATATTGTACTTGCGAGTTAACACGGTCTAAATTTCTAACCGAAACCCAACTCATGTTTTGTCTCTTTTACAGTCTTTGCTTTGTGACCCCAACCCGAACTCCCCAGCAAACTCAGAAGCAGCACGGTTGTTCAGCGAGAATAAACGGGAATATAACCGAAAAGTGAGGGAGGTTGTGGAGCAGAGCTGGACGGCAGACTGACGACGACAAACATGTCTATGCCTATATGAGACGATACCCTCCTCCTCGTTGTTCTGTCCTCTCAATCAGGTAATGTTATGTTATGATGTGTAAAATGGATCTCCATGAATTGTTTGCTGGGGTAAATAATGATTCTGATATAAACAAGATTTGGTTTATAGATGTAATGTGCTTGACTGGTATGTTGGATCAAATACATTTCAGAAAATTTCTTGTGTGATAAATAATTTTTTTGTCCTATCTGGTTTGACATTGAATTGGTTGTTTAGTTAACCTAATTGGACTTGATACAAAAACTTTCAATTTTAGACTTTTGTATATTTAAACTGAAGAAGGAACATTCAGTAGCATACACACAAACCATTTTTGGATATAACCAGACATAAAACATTGTATGTCACCTATGCACCCTTTAAGGTTAATCCAGACCAAAGACAAATTAGATAGTAAAGAGATGTTCTTCCTTCAATCTGCATGCGCAAACCTCATTTTCAGGACAACCATAGGGACCCTAGTGAGTTGCTTAGGTTGAATGTTATATTCTTCTACTCACAGAGTTTTCTTTGTTCTCCTCTTTTGTATTCCTTTTCTCTGGCAATTCACCTTCATCTACAGGAACACACATACAAACAAACACTGTTAAACATTGAACTGCAATGTCTGTTTTACTCGACTTTGTCATTAACACAAGTTCTGTAATGATGAGAAGCCAATGCAGTGGCAGAATGCGATTTTTTACCTTCTCGTTTACAGACAGGTTTCTTTGTGGAATTCTTTCTCTCGCTCTTCTCTTCTTGATTTCTCCTGGTCCCGGGATTGGCAATCCTCTCGGCCTTCTTCTGAGACCTATCCACTCGGGTTTCGGGTTGTCTTGGACCCCATCATCAGATGAATTTGCAGAGCAAGTGTTGGCCAAAAACGTTCTCTTCCTCGCTGATTTGTTGTCCTTCCTATTGTCGGTTTGGCATCTGAAGATTGATCAGCCTTGTCTGGGACCCCATCATCAGATGAACGAGCAAATTCGTCTAGCTCTTGAACCTCTGAAACATCCACTTTATTCACCTTAATGGCATTTTTAGCGGAATTTGGCTTGGCTATTCCTGTGATGGTTGAACTTCGAGAAGATTCATCTTTCGGGACGTCAAGTATCATCATGCTCAGGTTGTCACTTGTGGAAGATGAAATCTGGACATCATTGTTTACAGTGACAGTGGTCTCTTCAGTTACAACAGAACATGTCTCTGGAATCTTCAGCTGCTCGAAATATATCAACACAGAGATGTGAGAACACAATCAAAGTTTACATCAATCAAGGGAACATTTTGGAAGATAACGAGCAGGAAATTGATTTATAATTTGTACCTCGCAGCCTGCTTGGTGGGCAAGTTTAAAGAAGCCGAGAGAAAGCACACGCTTTCCCACGGATTCGGAGAGTTTGATCTGCGGCAACCAGTAAGTAGCTGAAGACAAAGCTTCCACCTTTTTCGGATTTCCTGACCTCAGCACACTTGAAACGGGCATTCTAGTAATGCCCTGAGCATTGCTCGACCGTTTTGCCTCTGCCTTCTAAAATGGGAGCGAGGTTGCTTAGTGATTTTCTAGCGGAATTGGCTTCAGCCTTTACAGGTATCGAGACTCTTCGAGTGGGCTTGGCAGATTCATCATCCTTGGCGGAAAGATCGAGAGCTGTCATGCTCTGGCCAACACCTGATGCGGCCCGTCCCCGTCCCCTGGGAATCAATAAGAAATGAGACAACATATAGCAAGAAGAAGCATATGCATGTTACTATGCCTAACTCTATTGAATTCTAGGACTCTGACACAAACTGAACACATCGTATCTTGTAAACTTCAAGACACGATTCAGGCAATTGACCAGATTACAGAGAAGTTCAGATAACGCGCCGTTAAAGCATGGGACCGGTCGTTTTTAATGGCTGAGATGGGCCCACATAAAATCTGTTATTAACTTATCTGCCCATGGGCTTTATTGGACCCATAAATCAATATTAATAAATTTACGGGGCTGTTGGACTCGACCAACTTCCCGGAGGCGGCTACCACATCCACGGCGTCACCGGAGAATCTAGGAATCTCCGGCGAACGGTGATGGTGCCGAAGATGATTCCTATCGGAGAATGTAGCTGTAGATTAATACTTTCAATGATATGATGAGTTGGACAAAAGAAAAAAAAAACGCAGTTAAACGGTGTCGTTTTATTTGTCACTTGTATGGAACCGGAATAACCGAATTAAACCGGACCAAAGACTTGGTTTTTCAAAATATCCCGGTTTGCGTCTTCACACTAATTGGCTCTGGGTTGATATCGTATTAAACTCGAAATTAGCTCGATTCAAAATCATTAATCATTTAGCCAAAAGACAAATAGAATAAGAAAATCGCATTTCAATTTCGTGTTTCAATAACTATAAAGCATTTCTCGGACAGATTTACTCTTAAAGTGATAAATCTTTTGTCCCCTTTTCTCCATATCCTTTATTAAAATATTAAAGCAAAAAAACAACAGCTTAGTGCTCTCCATGTTCTTTAAAAAAAAAATTGATCTTTTAATCTGTGATATCGTTTAAATTTAAGAGATTTGAAATGATATTAAAATTTACTATAATTTTTAAATCTAGACTTATAAGTTTAAAATTATTTATTAAATGTATATTAAATTTTGATTCTATTTGAGACGTTTTTATTTAAAAATTTTGCTTTTGTTTTATATACTGATTAATTAACTAAAAATCGTATATATTGTAATTAATTCTTAGGTTATAGTTAATATAAGCATAATTCTTAGGTTATATTTATTTATTAAGTTTGTTACGTGTAAACCGAAATACCAATAGGAATGATGTCATGTCAGCTGCGTAAAACGCTCCGTTTAAGTGTCATCAGCTGCTGATGATACATGCATAACTCGGTCTCTTTCGTTGACTTTGTCAATGGAGGGTTTTACTCGTTCCATTATTTTTAAAATAAAAAGGCAAATAGCAATTAATTTATTTTTCGTCAAATAAATCTTTTTTTTTTTAACAAATCTTCAGAGAAGAATCATTGGTGGTCTCGTGATATTTAAATTAGAAGTCGTTACCCCACTAGACAGACATGCATTGCACCCATTAAGTTGTTTTACAGTTCCAATTATTTAAACATGTAATTTGTAGTAATAACACAGATAATCGTTATACCATTTATGAAATTTATCATATGGTCTTAATTTAATCTAGAAAAACGACGATATTTATCTATTTTTATCATATATCTATGTATATGAGTAATAAGTAGAACAAAGAGAAATTATTTCAAAAGAAAAAACTCACCGAGCTATCAAGACTCGATCAACGACGTAAAATTCATCCGATTAACGCCAGAGTTGAGGTCAAAACTCATATAACCTTCTTCTTCTTTTTCCTGGTCCCAAAATCCCGATTCAGTTTCACCATAATCCCAATTTTCTCCAGAGTTTTGGGGTTTGATTTTGTTTCTCTGTTTAGGGTTTTGGTGATTCTGTAATGGGTGGTACTGGAAGACACGGATTGCACTTCTTCCACCAACGCTCCGCCTCCGCCAATGCCTCGACTATGCCGGAGCACCACCGCGTCGGCGACGAAACTCCGCCGGAATTTCTATGCCCCATCACCGGGTTCTTGATGTCGGATCCAGTTGTCGTCGCCTCCGGTCAAACCTTCGAGCGTATCTCCGTTCAGGTCAGTCGGAACCTCGGGTTCGTACCGCAACTCCTCGACGGGACCCTGCCCGATTTCTCCAATGTTATACCCAACCTCGCCATGAAATCCACCATACTCAAATGGTGCGACAAGACACAGAAGGAGCACCCACGCCCACCGGATTACGCGTACGTGGAAGGCGTGATTCGTGCTCGGATGGATTCCGGTTCGGGTGCTCGGGTCTCGCAGCCGGAGATTTTGCCGCCAGTGGCTGAGAACACGCCGTCGGATTATGATGCTGTGATGGAGGCGATCCGAGCTCGGTCCAGGAATTCCATGTCGTCGAGCACTTCCCTTGGGTCGGTGACCGTTGGTCACCCGTCCCGACCGGTGAGTCATTCCATGTATTCTACTTCTTCGTCGTCCGATGTGTTTCCCAGAGCTGAGAGTCCATTCCGAAACCCTAGTTCCTTCTCTTCCTCTGATCACTCATATTCGGCGCCGATGTCGCCAGAAGAAGAAGAGATCTGCAACAAACTGAGAAGCACTGACATATTTGACCACGAACAAGGACTGATTCTGCTCAGGAAGATGACGAGGTCCGGCGACGACGCTAGGGTTTCGCTCTGCACAGACAGGATCCTCTCCTTCCTCCGGTCGCTGATCGTTTCCCGGTACAACCTCGTGCAGACGAACGCCGCCGCGTCGCTGGTCAACCTCTCCCTGGAGAAGCCGAACAAGGTGAAAATCGTGCGGTCAGGTTTCGTCCCTCTCCTCATCGATGTCCTGAAATCAGGTACACCGGAGGCGCAAGAGCACGCCGCCGGTGCATTGTTCAGCTTGGCGTTGGAGGACGAGAACAAGATGGTGATCGGAGTTCTCGGCGCGGTGGAGCCTCTCCTCCACGCGCTCCGATCTGCAGAGAGTGACCGTGCCCGCCAAGACTCGGCGCTCGCGCTCTACCACCTCTCGCTGATCCCGAGCAACCGAACAAGGCTAGTCCGGTTAAGCGCCGTGGCGACGCTACTCTCCATGGTCAGATCCGGCGAGTCGGCGAGCCGGATACTCCTCGTGCTCTGCAACCTCGCCGGTTGTCCTGATGGGAAAGGCGCGATGTTGGACGGGAACGCCGTCGCGATCCTCACTGGAAAACTCCAGGAAGGAGGCGCGTGGGAGACGGATCCAGTGGCGCGTGAGAACTGTATAGCGGTTCTGCTGACGCTGAGCCAGGGGAATCTGAGGTTCAGGGGGCTGGCGAAGGAGGCGGGTTTGGAGGAGGTGTTGAGTAAGATGGAGTTGAGAGGGAGTGGAAAGCTGAAGGAGAGGGCGGCGAAGATCCTGGAGACGATGAAAGGCGGAGGAGAAGGAGACTTCGGCGGGGGAGCACAGGCGCGTGAGTGGAACCGCATGCTCGAAGCGAGTGGACTCAGTCGAAGTCAGTTCCAGGCGCAAACCTCTCAGTTTTAAGTTCAACTCTGATTTTTTTTTCTTTTTTGTGTTTTTACTCGTGCTTTTTTTCCCACTTTTTTTTTTTGTAAAAAAAAGTTGTAATTACGCATCGGGAGTGAATTTGTAATATCTGAAAATTTCAATTATTTGTAAACAACGATCTTGTGAATTTATTTCCAATTTTACATTTTTTTGTCACATACAAAATAAATTATAAAAAAAAAGACGAATTTCTACGTACGAAAGTGTAATATGTTGCATGAAGTATCCAAGAGTTCATAGTCGAATGGTGTAGTTGGTTGAAAGAGAGTGAATACATCTGTTCCATGTCCAATGTTCGAAATTTAATTATAATACAAAAAATGTCTCCAATGTTGCATGAAATACTATCTTCAGCCATCCCACGTGAGGGGGCTTTGGTTTCTTTCCATGAAACATTTGTACACGAAGTTATGAGATCCAAATCTTTAATTGATGATATAATTCCACGTGCTTTACATACTTAGGGCTTATTGTTTGAAAATTGCATAACCTCGATGAAGTATATTTGTCTATTAACCCCATATTCCATTTGCCTTTCGTGAATGTGCTATTTTCTGGCAGTGAATTTCATACTTCATATGTGTAATAAATTCAAAATCGTATATTTCATACCTGGTCTTAGTTTTTTTATACATTTTTATATGGAATATTAGATCATTGAATCGGACCATTTATATCCTTATTTATTATCATTCTTAAAATAGTGTTACAGCGTTTTAGATAAAATGTTTTAAAATTTGATACATGAAATTGTAATCTTCCGACTTGAAACTCTCTTTTGTTGACCATTAGGGTTCATGGATTTCATGGGTTTGGGAAGATTTGATTATGAATAGTTCAATTCGGTTTATTCGGTTATATTAATTCGGATTTAGGATTTAATTATTTCGGGTTTTGAATCAAACGTATTTTAGTTTTAATCGATTCAGTTCGGTTAAAATCCGGTATGATATCTAGTAATTAAATAATAACTAAATAAAAATTCGGTTCGGTTTGGTTATAACAATAAATGAAACAAATTTTAAACTATTATCGGAAAAAAAATATTAAAGATGTTATTTTAATCATATACTATAGTTATAAAACTATATAAACAATCTCATTATAAAAATGTATTAATGGATGATCAGTTTAAGTGAATTCAGATTGATTTACTAAGTTACAGTTAGTTCTGGTTCAGGTATTTTGAGTTTTAAAAATTAATAAACCAAATGATTATTTAATTTCAATTAATTCAGCTCATTAGGGTATAAATTGGTTAGATTTTGAAATAATGGAACCGATTATCCCTACTTGTATCATTGAAATCCGACCCACAAAATATTCAGATAGTAAAGATGCCGAATATTTGGTGTGAGATACTGTTTAAATTTGGATTTTTATGTTAAAAAATATATAATTGAAAATATTACAAAATATTATTTATTAAATCCTTATTTAATAACGATTTTCAGATTTTTTTTTTTATAATCGGTGTTTGTTCTCCATTTATTCATATGTATTTGAATATTTAGCATGTTTATAAAATATCCAAAATTTAAATATCATCCAAATTAAATTAAAAAACACTAAAATTCAAACCATTCAGACTAGAATCAGATTATCCAATGAGAAACTCGACTTGTCTCCACTCTCCAGAAACAAATAATAATTCTGTGCGCGCACGAGCGTGAAAAAAATATTTTAGGAAAAAATAACCAAAAAGGTAAATTTACCCGCAAAATTCGCAAAAAAAATATTTTCTGTTATTTTTTACATTTTAATTTTACCAGTTGTTGGTCGGTCACAATGATGCAAATCTATTTCTCATAATTTCTCCTCACCAAGTTTGCATATATTAAATAAATAAAAATAATAAAAGAAATATTTCAACAACCGTGGGCAATCCGACTATAAAATAAAGTGACGTTTGCTTAATTTGCACATATTCATGCGCTGAAGCTATCCATCCATTCACAAGGTTTATATATATATATATATATATATATATATTTGCCACATTAATTGTCTCACTTCCATCTTTCCATTTGTCGGTCATACGTAACCACAAAATTCCTTCCATTTATAAAAATTCAAAACATATATTTTTTTTAAAGGAAAATCATTTTTATTCACTCTTCTCTCCAATTATTTATCTATGAAATTTCATTTTTTATATCAAATCCCGTATGTCGGTCACTAATTCCAACAACCAAATCTTCGTATCAATTACCACACAAAAGTTGATTGAAATGTAAATTTATTTGGAAGAAAAATATAAAGTACCAAAGTGAAAAATACAGGAAAAAAAAAAGAAAAAGATTCCGTCCCGTCAATCGCACTCCGACTTCTGGAAACGGTGCCGTATCAATGTCCGCTTGGGTTGGGTATGCTTCACCTCGAAAACGGCACCGTTTTAAGTCATCACCCACCTCTCATCTCGCGGTATAAATACTGACCACCGGCATTGGTAACTGCCTCCACCGCCGACCTCCGTCGCACTTATTTACACAAATGCCACCGCCTCTTCCCATTCCTCCTGCTCCTCCGCCGTTTCCGCTGCGTCACTGATCCGCAACCTTCGCTGGATAATTCTAAGCTGTTTGAAAATGGCCAAGAACATGAAGCAGAAAATCTCTGTGTTGTTATCCAAGCTTGCCGACAGAGACACTTTCGCAATGGCGGCGAAGGAGCTCGAGACTATTGTCAGAGGGATTGATCCCTCCGCCGGAAACCTCCAGCCGTTTATCTCCGTCATACTTTCCACCGATGCCGGAGATAAACCGGCGGTGAGGAAGCATTGTGTCCACTTGCTCACCGTTTTGTCGCTCTCTCTCCCTCCGAACTCTCTCTCTCCTTTTCTCTCTAGGATACTCACGCGCCTCACGCGCCGCTTGCGTGATCCGGATTCTTCCATCCGCTCAACTTGCGTCGGGGCCGTGTCGGTGCTCTCCTCCCGGACGACGAAGCCGCCGGTTGCATCGGCGT